AAAAATCACAGAAACCATTTGAAAAAAGTTTCATTCGAAAACCTCAACCCATGAAGATTCTATGAAAATTCAAAGAACCTATTTCAATAAAACGGCAATTTCATACTTTAACCCCTAATACTTTTTATAAAAAAGACTGTTGGACGTTTAAGCAAGACGAAAAAGTGCAACTTTTGACGGCCTTGCCCATGTACGGCTATTTATATTCATAAATAGAATAAAGAGAAGAGTTTCTTTCATCCGGAATTCAAAAAAGTAATATTTGGTGGTTTTAACAATTCTATGTTGCTCCTTGTAGCTATATGTATACATGCATCTATATATGTGGAAGACATTGAAATTATGCCTATATAAATGCCAATATACCTATTATTGATTGTATTCAATGAGTGATTAATAGTGATTATATCGTTATAAATTATATCAAATGTTATACCAAGTGAAAATAGATGATTTGTTGTTATATCTTACATTACACACCTTTCCAACAGTCTTGTTGACACATTGAGTGCTTTTCTGCAAATAATTTGAGAAATATTGTACTGGTATGCGGTATATATACAAATTTTTAAACATTCTTGGTTTAAAATTTGTACTATATAACAGCATTCAAAACACGGTGAAATAACGCTTAAAACTGTTTAAGGCGACTTTTGTATAGCTGTGGCTGAGTGTTCTCGTGTTCAATGGAATCTTCTTACACCTACCGTCGTCAACGCGGATGACTTCCTTTTCCTTCAGATCTCTAGTCCGGATGTTCTCGTCGGGAGGCAGAACTACTCTGGTGGTTTCTTCTCGAGGATCTGTCATATTATATTGTTGAATTAAGGAGTTACCACATATCATCGAGTATATAACCAGAAATAGAGGGGAAATAAGGTCCATGTATTCCTGGTAACACATTAGCGATACAGCTTTTATAAATATCAACTCCCGTTTGCACTGAAATATAGACAGGCCAACTACTGACCTGTGTGTACGTCTCCGTATATTCCAAAAGATATTCTGTATTTATTGTAATAAAGATAATATCTTTGACAATGTCGTGCTGTTCTATTCGGTGGTGTGGGAAAAACAGCAAAACATCTAATTACAAAACAAACGGAATCACATTTAATCGGTAATTAAATATTAAATGTGTAATTATGCAATTTTCGTCCATTATAGCAAAGCTCAAGTTAACTGGTTGATATGAGGTGAAACAGTTGACGACATCCGTCAATTGTTTCGAACTCGGGCTAGCCAGTCGGAGCGCAGTTGTCTCAGTAATGATATGGCAGAATAGTTTTCAAACAAATTAAATGACATGTCGTCTCTATTTCTGGTTATATACTCGATGCCACATATTAATCGAATTGTGCCGGTCTTAAACAGCTTCATGTCCGTGTAATAAGTGCGAAAAAAACGTTACACATTTCGCTTCCGCTCGGACTACCGGCGCGAATGGCATATCTTTTTCGGTTTTATTGTATGCTCATATGAAGTAATTCTGGCTGGCTTAATGCGATTATAAGTTAGGTGAAATACTTAATTGACATTCAATTGCACTCCCGAGCTTTAAAACTCTAAGACTTTGAGGAATATTGCCACTGCACCCACGCTAACACTTTGAGCGATTATTGCCACCCATGCTAAGACCTGAGGAGTATTTCCACTGCACCTTCAGATTGACTAAGTCCCATGTGCCTCTAGTTTAACCAGCATCCGTCCTTTCAAAACCGGACGAAGTAATGCTCATATTATTGCTTGGCAACAGAAATGAGTACAGTGACAGTACCATCCTGGACAAACGCCTACAATTGAAGGAGCTCTACTGCTACTAATACTATCTAGCAACAGGTACCTAAATTGCTGGTTACTGTTGTTGTGTTGTAAAAAATGCATGCTGTAGGGGCCAATACTACGCTATAGTATTGACGCCTAATTGTTTAAATTGATAGATGATAAAAGTATAAAGTTTATTAATAAAGTAAGAAGATACAAGGCTCGTTGAGGATGTGTATCTCTTACGTTGTTGTTACGTTAAGACATATGAATGTTCGTTAAACACTCAAGATGTCTAGATGAAGTGAGTGCTCGTTTAACACTAAACTTACTTGCCTACTTATGTGCCCATGTAATGTATGTAAGCCACGGACAGTAGGCCACGGACAGTAGGGCACAAAGTAGAGCGCAAGGTAAGCGGAAGAAAAATGTGCGGTTGTAAACCGTACACATGCATACATAAATGAAAAGAACTTACGTGTTTTTTTGTGTGGTACACATATAAAGTTATAAATTTTATCTTATGTATACATACATTGTGTTCAGTCGCATTGCGTCGAAACATTTACAACGGTTAGTCCTTTCGGTCCTTTCACAGCAAGATTCTGGGTAAAACTAAATTCTATTACACTAATCGAATAAATAAACTGAACTGAAGCGCTAGCCAACCTTACCAACCATCTTACTTCATAGATTTTGGACAAAAACGTCTTAAAAAATCATTATCATAACCATAATCCACAACATTGCGAAAGCTTGCCCGTAAGTAAGATTTAACGTAAATGTAACACAATTTTACCAGATTTACCAGCCCCTCGTCCCGGAAGGTTAGCAGCGTAGCCGCGGAAGAGGGTTTCGAGCTCGTCGGGTGTCATGCGTCGCAAGTACGGAACCCTTCTTAAGTCTGGCCGATGCAACGATCGGAATGAATTACGGTGCTGCAACAAACAAAAAACATCCGGATGGATTAAGGGCGTCTTCAAAGTAGAAGCAGCCAGCAGCGCTTATTAATAAAAGAGCTGCAGTGGCGCTGCAGCCACGCATTACTGCATACAACACGTAGCCTGCAAGTGGCGCGCGCTTGGAGCGTTTGTGGTGCTGCAGCTGCGCTTCTGAATATTGTATGAAAATTAATAGAGGCGCGGCTGCAGCGTTTTTATAAGCGTCTAATGTGAAGGCGCTTTTAGAAACCTCCCACACTAGCGTTTTTCGAGCCATAGCGTCTTGCCAAAGCATGCACAGCGTCTTGTCAACGCACGCACAACGTCGACACGACGTCCGCGCGGCGACGCCGCAAAGCTACCACTCTCTTCTCGTCTCTTACAATAATTTCTAAGGATTTTATACAAAAAGTGTGAGGTGATATAAACAGTACACATAGGCCTTATTCAGAGTGCCGGCGGACGCGGGTGCGTGTAAATCAAATATGTAGACGCTTGTTGCGTTCACAGTGGCCGCGCGCGCAGCCGCGGTTGCATGTGCCGAGGTGGTTTGAGGCTCGCGCGCCGCGCGGGTTGATCTCTTGGCGCCGTCCGCCGAACCATTCACAGTGCTTTGTTTAGCGTCTGTTTGCAACTTCGACTTGTGGATCTAGCGGTTTGAGTCGCTTCGGCACTGTGTGTTATGTGGGACCATAAAACAGCTCGTGTTTGTCAAGTTCATATTGAATTGTTTTTCGGTTATTACTCGCCAGTGTAGTTGTAGTAGTATAGCACTAAATCGATAACAGAAAACTCGTGAAAATTATGATAGCCTTGCAGAACACGAATAACAATGAAAAAAATGTTTAGAAATTCCTATTAATTTATGTCGAATATATACAAAAATTTATTATGTCGCCATTGTAAACGTGTCTGAACGCTAATAAAGCTTACTTATTTCCAAACTATATATATAAATTGAACAATAATTTTGAATTTTAGATCTTTCCATCTGTATACCTTAACGAGTCCAGGTTGCACATGCATCCTTTCACATGCTCTTGACATGCTCACGCACTGAATCACGTTGTTGTCGTGTTTCACTGATATTGCAGATAGCCCGGTGCGCACTAGATCTTCGTTGATCTACAAAAATAAAAACGCAATACACTTCTGCTTACTGCCACTTAGAGGTACGCAAAAGCCGCATCTAATGATGATTAATTTTTGTTTGTTAACTATAAAAATATCATTTATTTTATTCCACCTTTCAGTATTTCTTCGAATGATCACAAGACAGACGCAGCCGCGTTAAATATTCAGTGACAGGGAAGCACTTATTCCTTTAAGCCTTATGAATAAAGATATTAAATGGAAATGGGTCATCTGCACATAAAAATAGAGTTCAGTTCGTACTCGTAGTAAAAGAAAACATGACGCTTAGTACGTTTCTTAAAGGAATTGAACTTACAAAACTTACTTGCCTCTACCGCAAATTGCTTTAACATAAATTACGTTTTTTTTCTTAACAACTTGGAAAACTTTGTCATCCAATTGTCCGCAAACTCGGATTCCATCAGTTTTCAAATACTTTTTCACAGTTTCCAAGTATTTTTTCAAAGGTTTCCTCGCCACAGTAGGCGGGCATTTAATCAGCGTCCCTTTTCAATAAACCGTTTTCATGGGCGAACAAAACCTAGCCCCGTAGTCCATCAATCAAGAAACTGACGCGATCCTTATTCGGGTGGGTTGCGAATTGTGCCTTAAAGTACCGCTTGCGACATTTCAATGACGAACGGACAAATTAAACCTATCGAGCAAGCCCTTGAATGATTCAGAAGAGAATAGGGCTGAGATGGTCTCTATTCAAATTGTAGCATTGTGAGTCTATAGAGGCTAAAGAATCACTCAACTATACATATATCTATTGGAAAACATCGTCTCACGTGTCTAATTATATCAACAAGACAGGGATAGGTAATAGGGCCCAAGTCTGTCTGTGTTTCAACTGAGTGCAATGGCAGAAGTTTGTACGTAATGGCTTGTCAGTGGCTATATGGCTAGTCGATACAATTAAAGAGCTTATATATATTGGATACTGAGTTTCATTTTGTAAAAGTATACATATAATTTGAGGACTAAAAATTTAAGATATGCATAGTAATTTCCATGGTAGTGTTGGTAAGGCAACATCTGTCGTTAGTGATTAATGAATGAATTCAATCACTGCCAGTCCTCTGACACTAATAAGACTCAACTACCATTGCAACTAGATTTTAGCAGAATAAAAATATTATCATAATTGCAATATAATCTCAGTGGAACCTCAATGGAATTACAATAAACAATCGTTTGAAGAAAACTACCTTGACTAGACTTGGCTACCCAGGCTATATGTATAAGTTTTCACCTTTCGATGTTAGTTACAGTGCTTTTTAAACAATTCGTAACGTTTTTAAAGAGCAAAGGTACCTGTAACTCCCTTCCTTCACAACATGGGACAAGAGGCGGCAATTCCTCTTTCAACTTGTGGGCTGAATTTAGTCCTGTCGCCATGTTGTCGCCGCTTGCCACCGGATTCATCCGCAACAAAGATGCATCAGAGGATATTTTTTCCTTTACCTACAATTTATTTGCATGTCTGCAGCTAATGCTATTCTCTTCTACTAGTGTACCTATAGGTACTGCATAGAATACTTTAAAATGAGGTGATAATAAATTATAAGAATAAACAACAATCAATCGTGATACATGTAGGTATATCGTCAGATTAGTAGGTAATAATTTCAAAATGCAATGTTTGTTATCAGACTGCATGCCTTTTAAATAACGAAGTTGTATCCATAGGAAATGAAACAATTATTCCGGATTTAAAACGCGTATAGTTGTTTTTTCAAACAAACCTTGTTTAAAAAAACAAGTACCTATACGCGATCTTAATCCGGAAAAATAGTTTCATTTCCTATGTGTAACAATCGCGAAAATCTAAGAACTCGAAGTTATATCCATTACATCGTTCTACTGCTCGGGGCGGGGGTCAACCAACCGCAAGTAGGGACTTCACTGTAGGCTGATATTATACGAACGATTTTTGTACTTCGTGTAGTAGCTAACAAAACTGCCCGACAGATCATCATGGTAAGCATATTTTGTTCATACCTCGAAGTTCTCCGTTACCTCCTTTGCTGACATGTTAGTACTCATCATGTTGATGTCACGAACCGCTGCAAGTAGTGTTTGACGGTCGTGTAAAAGCTGCATAACGCCGCCTGTCCCAAAAGTAATGTTTAAATATTGGTTAAATGGTTCAAAAGTAAAGGTTGAATGAGTGCTGTTTTTTTTCCAGTTGTTCACATTTTTACTGAAAATTTGACACTGTAAGACATTTCCATTTTCGAATTGCTATGTGTGGCTATTCGTGTGGCCAGAGTCATGACATAAAGAAGTTTTTATAAGTGCTCATATGCCGACTATAACAAGACTGTGTGCTTTATTTATTTACATTTTTTGCCGCCAGAAAAGAAGGACTAGGAATGTTCCTCAATGATCTATTCCACTCATATACACGCGCCGCTTTAAAGAGAACTCAGGAAAAACCATAAGCCCTTCGATCGTACGACCGTCCACATTATCGATCGGCCTTGTATTGCTTCTAAAGAAGTTTTGTAAGAAATATACCTTGATCATCATAGTTAAATGCTGTCATTTTATTGTCTTAGGGTCGTATTCTAGAACTCTACTCAATGCTCAAGTCAGGATTTGAGTATGGTTTAAAGCACTCGAAATCATACTCAAGTACCTGCCATTAGGGTCGTATTTCCAGTGCTAGTGTTTCCATTACAATCCTGACTTGAGCATTCAGTAGAGTTCTGGAATACGACCCTAAGAATACCACGGGCTTAGATATATGTCTAACTGTGAAGTTCATTCTGACAAGGCAAATCTTATGTCATGTCGGATCCGTCAGGGTTGAGCAGATTCAGGGATTGTGCAATGAGATTACGTTGAATAGTAACACTGTACCATTGACGTACAATTATATGGACGTCGGGTCCGCGCTAAAAAGTGTCCGCACTTGTAAGGCGCTAAAATCGTATACAGAGCGCCAAACTCCGCTTTAGTCTTCATTTGTTCGACTGACAGCGCGATACTGCGATGACATTACAATTTAAATTTCGAATAGGTTGACTTGGGACATTTTTTTCGTGGTTTTTGTATTAGACCCGTCGTCCATTTATTTGTAAGTCAATGCACTGTACCTATATTTTAATCACTGTTAAATCGAATAACGACTTTTACTTTCTATTAATTTTAACGATCAAAATAGGCACTAGGCGAAACGTATGACAGTTTCTAGGCAACGTGTGTGTAGCCCGAGAGTCCAACCACCACTATGTCTTCTCTCGTTTACCACCACCGTTCCCCACCCAGACTCCGTCGAGGTCCATCGGCAGAGGGAGCGCGCGATACATTGTAACCTGCAGGTGGCGCATCGGCCTCGCAGTTTTTCGTCCGTGCTCAAGACCGTTTCCGATGTACATTTTTTAGATGCTCAATATACTTTGCACCTTTAAAATGAGTGTGACCCAACACAAAATTCCAACTTTTTGGGAATACGCTGAATAAGATTTAGAAGAATTTTAAAAGTTACAGGACATTATACATTACTGGTTGTCACTCTTGAGATACTAAATAATTAGTCCTGGAATATAATGATATTCCACATTCAGTTTCATCTCAATCTTACTCCGAAGCACACCCCGGACACTCCATACAACGCAACGGTCGAAATTATTTACCTACTACTACTACTACATACAGCAAGGCGCTATCTGCATACGCGCAAATGTGTGGGGGAAGAAACGCAAATGTGTGGGGGAAGAAAAAAAAAAAGGGTTACCCATCACTTGCTCGTACTATTTACGTTACGTGGTCAGAGCGGCAACATAGCGAAAATTCGAACGCGAATCTGTTATCTATATTTCTATTATAGATTCCTAATAATTACACATGTTCATTACGTATTTATATCGATATAATATTATATTTTTCATTAATTCACTGACTAAAATAATATTAATAGCACTTTGGACAGGTACTCGTACCTTTAAAAAAGGCAACCAAAGTATTTGAAATTGCGTGTCCAACTTTATCATTACCTAGTTAATAATTAGGTATATTCACTACGTAATATTTATCGGCAAGAAAAATTAAAAATTCGAGAACCCTTGTCTAGCTCACGAAGTTATGGCGTCTTATTATATTGATACAATAAATCTGTATTATATGTTATTACTCTGCACTAAAGAAAACTATAACTGAATGAGTCTCAGCCATAAGTTTATTTACTTACTACGTTTCATCTTTCAAAAAACGAAAGAAACTCCTCTCTTTATCCCGTTTAGATGTTTATAAATTGCCGTATACAGCACAATTCACGACCATTATAAATAGTAACGTAAAACGATATTATATATTAACCATATATTTTGGGTACCTATATACTAAATCTATGATATTAACGTACAAATTTCGTAATGAATAAATGAAAACTATATTCAAACGGGTTTCAGTCTTAGCGCGAAAACGACTCGCCGACAGCCTTGTTCTCTATAATGTGACCGTCAATGTGCGGGACTTGGTGCGGTATCTAAAGCTAGGGAGAGGCGGAGAGTGTCCGTTCTCATTACTTATTTGTTCTATGCCCAAAGGGAATTAGTCTCAAAAATTGTTTTTGATTGTTTTAAAAAAATGGAACAGTCTTCAAGAATTGTATGGTAAAAAGCATTTTGCGATTTCTGACATTCCGAGTACTCTGAAGTGGTTGCAAGCTGTGAGCAAGTTCCATTCTCGTTGGAAGGAATATAACAAAATTTAAAAATTGAATTCACAAAAACTAGCTGCTACAAGCCATCACAATACATTGCGACACACTACAAGAAATCTCACCATATTAATAAGATATTAAGATATTAAGATAAGTGTAAACATGATCAAATTTCCTCAGATCATTAATGAACGGATGCAAAAGTTTTGTAGACGTTCGAGCTTGTTGAGCTGTTCTTTTGTTAGATCCAAATAGCAGGCATCAGCAAGCGCAATTTTATGATGATTTTCGGAACGAATACAGCTCGATTGCTAATACATCACTTTTTCGCCAACGTTGGTAGCGTTTGTCTTTGCACAAGCAGATTCAACACTATAATGAATGCGGTGTTTACATACTGATGTGGGAGTGAATTTCAAACAAAATATGAAAGAGACCCATATAATGAGTTTGTGCTATTCGAGCTTCCATTGATTTCCACATTAACAACCTTATGAGCAAGTCCCCTTTCCATCATCGGGGGCCTAGAAGCACTACTAGAAGAACTAGAAGTTTCGCGTCCACATTTATATGGGCAACGGCTATGGAATGGACTTGCCTGCCTGCAGGCAGGTTTGTTTCCTGAACGTTATAACTAGGGCTTTTTCATAGGTGTGTTGGAGGTAAAATGCGCACTGATTTTTTTAACCGACTTCAAAAAAGGAGGAAGTTCTCAATTCGACTATATGTTTTTTTTTAATGTATGTTACGCGATAACTCCGGTATTTGTGAACCGATTTTCAAGATTCTTTTTTTGTTGGAAAGGGGGTACTTGCATAGTGGTCCCATTTCATTTTGAAGGAAATCATCCACCTCTGTTCACGCATGAAGATTCATTTTTATAAATAGCGCCTAAATTTTCTTAAGGAGCAATTATTTTAATGGTTGATTTTGCTATTTCTCCAATTCAAGGCGTTTTTCTCTCGATATTCTTTGAGTAGTGAGAACTGATTTTTATTATCTCCAGTGTCAAGTCCTATATAGTAGCGAATTTAAGGATATTTCAATAAAACTTAGCAAATAGACGTAATTCCATGTGCTTCTGAGGTCGTTTTTTTAGTACTCTGTACTGAGATTATTTACTAGATTTTGTTGAGTTTTTGAATTAGATAACTTTTCTTCCAAAAATGCGACTTGTATTGTATATTGTATGCCTACGTGCTCAGCAGTCGTTGAAGTAGATGCTGAAATTGTGCACGTTATCAAAGGTTCACAAAATTCTGGATAAAATGTGAATAAAATTCACTAGGTTGAGTCTGCCTACTATTAGCCACTATCGAGTAGGTAGTACCCATAGATTTACCTATATACTAAATCTATGGTAGTACCCGATTATTCTTCCCACAAGTTCTGTTGTACAGTTTAACAACAGAACTACTGGTATTTGCGATTCCCAGTAGTTCTGTCGAACTGATCTACGACAAAAGCGTTTTTGTAGTCACGCAGAAAGCAGGTTTAGTTTGAGAAAAAATATAGGTTTGTCTTAGAAGTCTGGATCAGAAGTAAAAACACTTTAAATCAGTAATAATTTTAATGAGGCAAAAATCGGTTATATAATACTAAATACAACATTTGAAAAATAGACGCGTCGAGAGCACACCAGCATAAAAGTCCGGCTGTGTGATTTGCAGCGCCTTTTATAAGTTCGCTCATCGGCATTTGGCGGTAACGCGCCAGCAATTGGCAGCGATGATTGAAGCCCGGTACTGCCAACTTATATGTCGAATTGTATAGAATTGTCGCTGTCGGTTGGCAGCACTGGCAGAGGCGCCTCTAACTAACATTTTGTTTATTACCCTGTTCATCGTAGTCTGCCTTGAAAACCGTAACCCTTGAAAAGTACTTTGGTGAAGACTTCTTAAAGTTAGTATCGAAGGCAGATCACGTCTTAACACGTCGGTCCAAATTACCCCCTTCAAGGGAACTACTTTATCCTCTACGTCACTAATAAATACTTTTCTTTTTCACAGAAACTTAAAATAAAACAAAAATTAATTTCACAAGTTTTATTATAAATTAGTAAACCAAAACAACGTAATTTTTTTGTATATGGTTATCAATAAGTAATCATTATTGATAACTAGAAAATGGAAACAGCAGATAATCATTACCTACGTACCTTTAATTAAATTAAGTGTCGGTATACACTTATTTACATAGCAAGCAAAAAAAACACATTTTTCGAATGAGTTTTGCTTTTTTAACCAATTTCTGGTAAACTTTTTCACTTTGGTGGCTCTTGTTCCAAGTTAGCACCTTCAGGATGTTCTAATGAGTCATCGGCAGTATGTTGGCCCGGTATGTAGAAATCTGTATTTTCCTGCACGTCTTCGTGGTATACCGGCTCTGACCCGGAAGCAACCGTGCTTTTCTGTGGAAATGAAAAACATAATTCATAGTCGTAAGGTGAGCTAGTATGCTTATAACTAAGTATACTC